TATATACTGTATTTGAGGGCACATAAAAAAACACCTTTTATTTTTTTTCCAAAAAGTGACTCCAGGAAATATCTAAGCTGAAGTTACGTTTACCTAAATGTCAAAGATTTTTTTGTACTAATTCAATGCTTTAAAATTAAGTGTAATATGTAATAGGTGCAAGACTTATAACAAATAAGGTCATTGAGTATAAACGTATATATGTATATATTTTACATGTTTATATACATGTAAGTATGTTTAAGCCTATATGTTTGCAAAAAGTGTGTATATATATATATATATAATAAATATATATATATATATATATATATATATATATATATATATATATATATATAAATATATAAATGAAAATGAAAAATAAAAAATAAATTTTTCAAGTTTTACCCTCAGAAATGGTGGATCATCAGGCCAGGTTCAGTCTTTATCGTATGTCGCTCGCAGTTTGTCTTAACAATGGAGAAATCTAGGGTTTTTTTGTTTTTGTTTTTCCCTTAATGTGAGTGTCAACTGGGTTCTATATTAGCTACTGAATATGTATTTTGCATGCAAATGTCCTGTCATTATTTTTGATCTCTTATTCAATAGTGAACTTCGTTTCAGATACATCAAGATCATCAACTTTTCCTCCTCACAAAATTTCTCTCCACCTCTTATTTTTCCTTACTATAGTACAATGTATCTTCAGTTGGTTTTTCTGTTCACCTATCTCTCATATATATATATATATATATATATATATATATGAAAGAAAAAAATTTATATCTCATTGCATTGCTGGATAAAGCTATTAGCTGAATTTTAACCTGAAAATTTCACTGTATAATATTCAACCTATGTGACCTCTATGGAAATGTTGGCTTATGGCCATAAGATGTTGAAACAGCAGTTCACATCCAATCACCAAAATTAAGCCAAATTGATCTTGTTCAGAACCTAGACAAGTGACCACTTGGTATAAGATTAACAGTTCGGAATTGGAATTTGGAGAGCCGAATTCCAATTCCATTTGGGTTCGTTATATTATGTGCAAATATCATTGGGAAAGGTATGAATCCACCGTTTTTACCCCCAGCTATGGGTTAAACATTAGGACCTGTATCAGTAAAATCATTATCTCAAAAATAGTGTTTTTAAACACATATTTTTTTTCCTGATTCTCAAATTCTACATCGCTGCTCAATTTCATATCCTAACATAAACAAAGCAATTTTATTTATTAATCCAACATATATTTTATTACTTAAATGTTATTGTTAGTGGATGCCCATATTTAGTAGATGCTCAGTATATTTATTTATTTTCAGAGATGTATATTTTGATAATTGGGGGGAAAAATCTGTGTTTAAAAGCAGTATTAAGGTTTTGCTTGGCCATCAGGTTTTCTATAGCCAAGAGTTCAGAGCATTTATAAACTTTCGGGAATCCAAATGAGAAGGATTTACTTGATAGCAGTATACAACCTTGCTTAATCATAGCTGAGTTAGTTAAAGTATGTCAGATCTAAGGATGGTTTAACTGAAGGGAATGCAGGTTCAAATGCTGGCAGAGAGTGCATATTTTTTTAATAAAATTTCTTTAATATTCAGGCCAGTAATTGGATTAATAAATGAAAAATCCATTCCTAATACTGAAGGTAATAATCTTGATGTATTTAAAGCAGTAGAGTCATGTGAAGTGCTTTTTTCTTTTTTTTTTTCCGAGATCATTCTGGTTGTGAGATTTTCTTTTGAAGCTACTGTGGATACACTTGCCTCTCACATGTGATCTTTACTAGACCTTTGTGTTCCTGCTGTAGACATGGAAAGGTTTCTTCATGAAGTTAAGCAATCATAGTAGTACAGGTTTATGTGCTCTGTTGAGTGTATAAATGTCTGATGCCTGATTTGCGTTTCATTATTGGGCTTCGCTGTCTTTGTTATTCTCAAATGGTAGAAATTTCAAATCTAAGGTAAGGAATTTTAGCTTTGTGAGCTATTTTAATCATATGTATCAGTCATTAGTATAGTTGTGGAAAGATTACTAAATGACAATTTAAAATGAGGTAGTTATTGAACAAATCTGTGATTGCATAAAGAGGAATGTAATTTTGTAATCTGAGAAGCGCTGCTCTACCTAAAAGTGTAGGTGTATATATTTGACATTTTTTTTAATTATTGAGTTCACAAATATATCAAAAGAAAAATTCAGTGTTGTTTTTTTCTTTCTTTCATTTTTACAACCAATCCTTTTTTTCTTAAAAGGTTTAATGGTTGAATTAAAAGCACAGGTAATGTTTTATATAATAATAAAAAAAAAACATTCTGTGCTTTTGGATTTTATTTTTTCCAAAAATTTATTTTGGATAAAGAAATCAGTTTGATGAATGGTTATCTGTTTTTTTTTTTTTTATTAGTTTCTTTTATTTTATTTTTCTATTTCTTTTTTTTTTTACTTTGAGATAAAAGTTAATAGATGATCACTACTCAAAAAAGCTAAAATACTAAAAGGATTTCATATTGAGAAAAAGTTTGATCGTTTTTTCTTGGAATACAAAAAAGACACAAGATCTAACACACAATACCATTCTATCTTAGCATACCTTCAGCAGGTATGTGAGGAGTGGTGTGACAATTTTTCCTACCTAACATTATCATTAAACTCACAATAAGATGTTGTGTCCAGTACAACAACCACACTATTATATTATAGCTACTAATATATATATATATATATATATATCTGTCTATATTTCTGAGATGAGGTATTGTAAATATTTACATTATTGTTTGGACTGTTGTCCTCATTTTTGTTGCCATATTCACAACATTTCGCCTGATATGGACTGCTAGAGAAAAACAATAATAACAAAATTTTAATGTAAACTCTGATAAAATATGAATATTGAGACATTTGTTTTATAAGTCCCAAAAAGTCAAACACTGATGTCCTCAAGGATAAAAGCATTGGTTGAATCCAGTGACTTGACCCAAAGAGTTGTGAGTTCAGCACCTGGCTACAGCAGAGGTGAACAGAAATTTGGAATGTTGAGTTAAAGAGAGATAACTGATATTAGGACATCTGGAAGAGGATGGCATGTGGAACTAGAACAATCTACCCTAGTGGACAAAAAGGGTTCAGTTCAAAATTCCAATCACCTGAAGAAGGCCGGTATGTACAATGGCCAAAACATTGTGAATATGGCTACAAAAATGAGGACAAGAGTCCAAACAATGTAGATAGTGTAAATTTATATATATATATATATATATATATATATATATATATATATATATATATATATAGTGTGTGTGTGCATATGACTGCATGTAATATGTAAAGTTAAACCCAGAATATATCCGTGAATTTTAATAGGTAAAAAGTAAAAAAATCTTGTTTACTGTCTTAAGTGCTTGAAATGAGCCTGCGTATGTGATCAATAAAGGTCTGGAGGTTCATAAAAAATGGTATTTAAATGTTTTAAATACCTTAAGAGTATCTGATATATATGCGCAATATGTATCTATATTGATGGGAAATAAAAATGCAACATATTGAATATTGTTGCATTCTGTGTCATCTCGGGATCCCCATGCTAACAAATATACAGTATCAACAAAAAGGTCATTTACTTTTGGTATTCATTTTATTAAAAGTGGCAACTTGGATTCTAAAAGGCAGTCGGACAAATGTCACAAGAATTCATGTTGGTTCCGAGTCTCTCCGCAGGTGGCATTACCTGGTTGCTAACATGGGTGCAGAGAAGGCATATCAATACTTCAGAATTCTTGTGATCCTTTGTGCTATTTTGGACTTATATTCACAACCCAGACAATCTATCACTGTTAGAATGCCCTGTCTAAGAATTACTCTGGCCAATTGCTGAACATCCTGGCCTTCACCTTCTGTAACAATATGTATCTCAATTTACTCAAGATAAAACATACAGGTAATATGGGCAGATCCGTATATGCACAGGCTTCAAAAGAAGAGGTGGATTAGCAGTTCTCAGACCCTGTATCATCTTTTGTTATTTACACAAGCCTGTATTCCTGCATGAATATGTTCATACATAATCCAAATTTGAGTAGGGGCAGATAACTCATAAAATAACTAAAAAGACATTATTTTTTTAAAAATCTTTTTATAGTTTCATTATTTGTTTTGAATTCTGAAGTGAACGTGAATAATCTGGATCTTAATTGTTAATTTAAAAAAAATTTTTTTTAAGCATTTACCTGTTTATATTTTTAAAGTGTTTTAACTGTTTTATATATAAGTGTTTCATTTTCAAAAGGTAGTTTCAGATTATCATAATAAATTTATCTTAATTAATGTTTAAATTTTTGAGATGGTATGATAGCTAAAATGGTGTGATTATAACAAACAAGATAAGACACCTGAAATGTTTAATCATCACAGAGCAAACCAGAAGTTCTCCAGTCATGATGAACTCTTGTACTCTCAATGAGACTCCTTGTTTGAAACATTGATTGGGACTCAAGTGGAATATCAGACCTCAACTAGAACTTTTATATATGATTCACTACTAAAGACACTGGAAAAATTGTTAGCTCCCTGTCCTGCTTGTACTCTTCCCTGTCACCTGAATTTGCAGGCAGAAGGCATAAACAGAAACCATCTTCCAGTTGATGGCTATTAAAATTTGAATTATGTTTTTAAAATAAGATATCAATTTCCTAGTGAAGATTTTTGGTCATACCTAACATGTATGGTTCATTATTATCCTCATATTTCCCCATGCAACTCACCAGCTGCTAATAACAAGGTCCTATTGTACTATATATTGTATTTCTTAGTTACAGACTTCCACCATGAAATTGCCACATGTCATTATAATAATTTTGTTATTTGTAGCAAAAACTTCAATCATAATTCTAAATATATTGGGTACAAAAATTATTTTTGAAATCATTAGAAAAGAATATAGCAAAAAAAAAAAAAAAAAAAAATTCATTTTAAATTAAAAAAGGTGTTTTTTTTTTTTTTTCTTTCAGATTCAATTAATTCATTGAGGGCAAGACTAAGTTTTTCCTCAAACACACCCAGTACAGCACCATCAGAAAGTTCCCCTGAAAGAAGTTCTCCCATCATGCTTCAAAGCAAAGTGGAGGAGAATGCTTCAGCTAATAAAGATTTGCACATACAGAATTTGAGCCGAAAAATGACCAGAACAAAAGATGGTGTGTCTGATGTCGCTGAAGAATTGTTACAATCTGCTGATGAGGTATGCACAAATATTTATTTACTGTTTTTTTTACAGTGTCTGTGTGTCCTTCATTTTACCCAAGATGCCATGAGTTTAAAAAAGACTTGTTTTTCCAACTCCAATATGAATACTGGAACCAAGGTTTTATTGTGGTTCTGTATTAAGTTTAATAAATATAGATAAACTGATAAATTATTACAAATTTTAATGTAAAGGATTTTAAGTAAGAAATAATTTTTTTTTATTTCTAATGAAAATCATTTAAAGAGCAAAATAATTTTTCTACAAGGTTTTAGTAGTACTATTATTTTTTTTTTTCTTTAATTAAGCATTTTCTGCGATTATCATGAAGACACCTTGTTGGGTGATTGAGGCTTGTCTGACTATTACTACTGAGTCATATTTTTCAGCTTGTGAAAGGCTGCTTAGTGGTACCCAAAGAAATTAACCTGGAGACAAAATTTCAAGCTTCTAACATTAACATTGGAGACGTCCGAAATTTGTTTCTTACCTCCCATGCACGTAATGTCTTTATTTACAAAACCTAGTTCCAGGTAGTAATGATATTGCTACATTATAGTAAGTTCAATTGTCACAGGGTGCCCCCATACAAAATCGGACATTATAACTCAATAACCCAACAAGGATTGACATGTCATAAAATCAACCAACCTAACCATTACTATTAAGTAGTGAGTTTGATCCTCACTGGGTGCCTCATACAAAATCCAACTTTATATAACCCAACAAGTCCTAAAATCAATCAACCTGACTGTTATTATTATTAATTTTTGACTTGTTTCTACATTCCTGTTAATGATGCTGATGATGATTTGTGGAATAAAATAATTGATTTAAAAGGTTAGATTTGTTTGACTGCCAGTTGTCAAGTTCTTATAGCTTAGTGATTAGAGAAAATGGGTTTTCATCAGAATTTTTTAAGGTGAAAAAAACACCAGTTACAATCTCACTGAAAGCTATTTTATTATTTTCAATCCATACCATCTACTCACTACTGTAGAATTGACAGCCTGATATAAAGTTGCAATTAAAAAAATGAAAAATTAAGATAAAAGAAAATATATTTAAAAATTGATAATAAATATTAGATGTCAAAATTAATAAAATATTGATTAACCATTTTTATTAACAATTATAACAAAAATGTTATAAACCGATACATAAATGCAATCATGTTTCAGCACTATGGGTGCTTCTTCAGGCAGTGGTGGTTAGCTGGAGAATAACTGATCATTTTATGGTTTAAAAAGATGGTTAATCACTTCCTTACACTTGGATAATTTTGCTATCTCAGTTTTAATATTTTATTTTTTTTTAGTATTAATTTTACAATCTCTTGATTCATAATATTTTTTAAAATTTTATCTAATTTAAAGAAAATATGATCATCTTCCCAGGAATTGTAGATGGAGTTCCCATTCCGTATTATTAACCCTTTTTATCTCTTATTTGTTTTGTGTTGTAGATAACTTTAAAAAGAAACAGATCTAACTAATATTTTGGTAATTATAGCAGGAAGTGACCTTCTGTCATTGTCAAATTATACATTTTGAATTAAACTTATTTGTTATATAAATGTGACTGTTAATCACTTATAATTCTTTGTGTGCTTGTCACAGAGAAATGATTGGCAAACTTGTTTCACAGACTGTATACTAATGAAATGAGTTCAACTATTGAGTGACCCAATGTATTAAAAGAAGTCCTTCAGTGATTAGCATGTTAATCTCACAGACTAATTTGTAAAGGAAATGAGTTTAATCTTTGCTTTCTGTTTCACTCTTAGGCCAGATTAAGCAAATCTTGGTAAATAACTCTTGTACATTTTAGGGTTTGTAAATATTTAGGGTTAGTTTTGGAATTTCTCTTCCATAATTTTGTTCTGACCGCTTTATTTAAAAACCATAGAATTTCATTAAATTTTAGCTTGAATAGCAAAAAAATTATCTATATATAATTTTAATTTTCATGAAATTGTTGGAATATATATTCAGTCGTCTTGGTTTCTTCTGTTAGTCTTTTAAAAAAATGTAAACAATTTCTGTTATAATTCTACTTTTTTGCTTACAAACATTTAGAGCTTGTGATGCATGTTCTTAGTGCATATATCTATTGTACATTTAACGATTAAAAAAAAAAAAAATGGAAATTCCACTTGTGGATCAACAAATAAATATATATTGAAATATAAGATACAAAAACAATCATGCAATGAAGTGTAATGATTAAGGAGAAAAAAAGTTGTTCCCCTTCAACTGTATTCTGATTTACGATTGAATATTCAAAAAAGTTTTTTTTGAATAAGAATGTTCAGGATTCTTTGTTGAATAGAGTTTGCTGTTAGAATAGAATACAGTTAATTAAGAAATGTGTTATTTTGAGAAATTAATAGAATTCTGGTTCATGAACTTGGCTGAGTCACAGAGAGAGATAGATTTTTGTAACACATTATATATGTGTCTGTGCATTTGAAATATTGTGAGTAAAGTTGTAGATTTGTGTGGACAGGCAAAATAGCGACTTGTGGCAAAATTGCTTCTTTTAAAGGTACCGGTAGGCTACAAGTGAAAACGTGGGAAAAATTGATTTAGTATTAAAATGTTTGATTGGTTAAAATTTGACCAATAACTGATTTTGTATTAAAGAAACATGTGAGCAAGTTCATGACCGAAAAATTCAAAGTGATGACTGCGATTGCTAAATTGTCTTATAGAAAAGCAGTATTGATTTACTAGCCAATCGCAAATGAATAAATTGTGGGTGTGGAAAAGCATAGCAGTCACTACAAGCTCAAATTTAGTAACAGTTAACAAAATTAGTGTCAAAGGACATAAATATTTTGATACTTTATCTATTAAATGCAACCCCCTTTTTGATTTCACACATTCTCTTTTTGTTTTCCACATACTGCTATGTTTAATACCCACTTTCCAGCAGTATTATTTAGTCTCATGGGAAATCCCATCTTGGGCTACACATGTTTGGACTAATTTCTGGACACCAGTGTTGTTAAGAGACTGCTATTTTTAAAATTGTACTTGTTCAGTCTTTAACCATAATTACTTAAATGGTCTTGAACAAAAAAAATCAACATCCTCTACTAAGTGTTCCAAGGATGTGAAGCAACAAAGAGGAACTGTTAAAGAATGTCTTTCTTGGCACCAACAGAAGCTGGCTTCTCATTGGCTTGTAGAATGTGTGGTTGTAAAGTATGGGAAGATAAGTATTCTTATTAGGATCTTAGTGAAGATCATCCTTTTTCAAACATTGTGAACTGGCACTACAGAATTGCAAAGAAAGAACTGTACCAAATAACAGAAACTGCATCACTTGAGGACAAGCAGCAACAGCTAAAATGGATACCATATGTTGTGCAAAGAGAAAATAATGACATAATCAAGATGCTGACATTCCACACCACTTCAAACAAAAGGTTAGGAAGGCAGCCTCCAATCAATACAGGAAAGAGATTTAACAGCTAATAGACTTGAGAAACCTATTTTCTTGAAAAATTGTTTTAAGAGAAAGGTTTTATAAATTTCAACTGATATCAGCATTAACTGCTCAGTCAATGAATGCCAAATGTTTCCTTATAAAGAAACTGCTAATACTACCATTACCATATAACTGCAGTTGTATCAGACTCGATGGGTAGTATAGTAAAGTTTTAACATTTTTAAATTCAGAATGGCTTCTGTTTAAGTAAGAAGAGACATTTAAATTAGCAACAGAAGGAAAAAAAAGGACAAAATTTAAAATGTGTTTTTCTTCTTCTCACCTTAGAAAAGCTAACTTGCTTCTATTTGTTTACATATTTTTATATATTCGTTTATGATGACATTTTAATTAATTACTTCAATTCAAGTAGTTACTCATTAAACAATGTTATTAATGAATACATTAATCCACTTCTACCATTGTTGATCTGTTGTATCCAATTATGGCTGTGTTGCAAAAGTGACAACATTAACTAAATCTGGTACTGGTAGAGTCTGCGCCAGATCAAAGCAACTGGTCACCCCTGGGCTAGAAGACTTTGGAAGCCCAAAATAAGTATCTGATTGTGATAAGCAAAACCTTTATTTTCTTTTTGATTCTGTGTCATCACTTTCCAAACTTTTTGTATTAGAAATACATTTTTTTTACAAATAAAATTTTTACTGATGTTTTCTTAGACAAGCAACAAATATAATTCCAAAAACGAAATCAAGGAAAGACCAGGTAAATAACTGCAACTCCAATTTGAAAGCATCTGATCTACACAATGAAAATTGAACATTTTTTTAAAATCTTAACATTAATAAAAACGAATATAAATTAATGACCTTTTAAGAAGTTTACAAAAATAAGAAATTATTAATCTCAACAGCTATGTTTCAAACATTGCACTAAATACAAACAAAACAGTTTCTTTTCGAGTTGTTTCAATTGTAATTTTTTTCATTTTGGTGGAACTAGCCAGAAATGGTTTCAATTTCACTACTTAGTTTACACGTGATTTTAGCTTATTTTATTTAGCCTCTTACTTTTTTCATAATAAATGAAATAAAATATACGGCAAATTAAAAAAAAATGTTTATGAAAGCCCAAGGTTGCAGTTATCTCTCAGAATATGCGGCACTGGTAAGAGTTGTCTCCCTTGAACCATTTTCTTTCACCTTCATTTGAGGCAGAATGGGCAACTCACAAGTATTGAGACCAAGAATTTTTCAATTGAAGATATTAAGGATAAGAGATTTAATCATGTCTTTCTTTATACTTAATAATTTGCTGAACCAAAACAAAAAATAAGTAATCAATAGTCAATTAAATTATTGATTTTGTTTTTCAGATGTCATTAATTCAACAACACTTGGACTTTATGGACCACACATTAAATAAACTGGAGATTAATATCAATCAAGACCTTACAAAAGATACCAGTAATGATCAAGATTCATTAAACAATAATGAAGAGCCTCGAATTGATGATTTATTTGCACACCAGGTGTTGGCAGAATATCATGTCCAGGTAAAGTAGAAAGTTCTCTCTTCATTATTTATAAATAACCATCCACTTTAAAATAAAACTGTTATTTGTAAACTATAAAAATATTACTGAATATTGTAATTTGCAAACATGTCTTTTTACAGATAGATAATTTTCTTGTCAGTCTTATAAAATTTTTCAAATATAAAAATTTTATAAATGTGTAATGTATCATGATTTGTATTTACATGAACTATATATATATATATATATATATATATATATTTCTCATTATATGGAAATTTAGATAATTTATCTTTTCAGAAATAACTTTTTGTTCTATATCATTTTATCATACAAAAAATAAAAAAAGCTTTTTTACTTATTGATGTGCATTTAAAAATATTCTATTTGAATATGAAGTGTGAAGTTATTTTTTGCTAATTACATCTGTTATTCATTGGCTTCTGCTTTTTTTATTAATTTTTTTTTTATTACTAACCAAATCCTGATACTAATTTCAATTTTAAAAATAAACATAACTAATTTCATTGCTAATTAGCTATAAACATTGTTTGCAATTATAGAAATGATCAGTATTCAGTTTAAAATTTAATAAGTAATTTAATTACATGAAAATTTGAAAATAATACCTTTGCTGTATTTTCCTAGATTTCTACAAAAATAAATGTCCAAATATGTTTTTTAAATTAAATTCTGGTTCAGTAAAAAACAAATTGTTCAGGTTAATGTAACTTTTATATGCTACTTTGCTTTGACTGGTATCTTCATTTTGATTGTTACTATCACAACATTTTAGTTATTGTATTCGCTGGTCTTCTGTAGATGTGTCTCTCATTGTTAATTTCAAACCAAACTTTTATAGAATCTACAGGAATCGATACCTTTCATTCCATTCTCAGGATATCTTGTGTAACTTAATGCTATCTATTTGATTTGTCTTTGTAATGTTGTCTTTTTCACTGAACCAGACTATATGATTTCCTTCTACTCCCTAATCCAGCAATTGAACTCATGTCTGTAAACTAACTTTAGATACTTAAATATGAGGAAATAATCTAGTAAATAAGTATATAATAATTATTCCTCATCTTGAAAATTCAAACAAAAATTAATACAAGATAGAAAACCAGACAACAGGATAATTTGAGATTTGATAATTTTTATTTTTTTATTCATAATGGTTTCTGTAATTCATTTGGCATTTAATTTATCAAATTTTATAGAATGCATTTTATTATCAAATGTCTTTTTTTTTTTTTTTTTTTTTTTGTAAAAAAGTTTTTTTTAGATTGGAAAATAATTGTCACTTCATAATTAGTTTGTTACTGAGATTTTGTAATAAATTTAAGGTAATATCTATTTTGTACCCGGTTAGCTATTTTGGGATCTATCTTGACCCTAGCTGATTGCAGAACATGACACTATTTGCAACTTGGCTTATATCGGAATTTTGTTAAATGAGGTGTATGGTTTTCTTTGTGAAAAAAAAAAACTAATAATAAAGAAATTAATCCAATGTTTCAGCTGTATACCTTTCTGCTTTTGTTGGGTATCTCAGTCAGTTAGTTATGTGCCATGCATGATACATGCTTAGGTGATCATGCATCTTTTGATGCATGACTAATAAGGCAGATTTATTCCCGCAGTAGTTTGCCATTTCTTTCTGCAGTAGACCAGTTGCCATCCAAGGCTATAGAACCCGATCTGTCCAGTTAGCTGGCGGGGGGGGGGTAGAAGAAAAGGATTCATACCTTTCCCAAGGGTATTAGCATGTAAGTGAATGTAATGGATTCGACTGGAATTTGAACTCAGCTCTCCAATCCCTAAATCCAAACCGCTATCCATTACTCCACTGTGCCTCCTCTTGGGTATCTACTATATTAAAAAATGTTATCAAAGCCATTTTTGGTGGGTACATATTCATCTATCATAATATGTTCTTATGACTGTTCTCCCTTGACTCCCATGCTGATCTTGTGTCATATTGCACCTTGGACCAGCACCTTTTTGGTTGATTGCTGTAGCATGATTGAAAAGTGCTTCCATTTTCAAAAAAATAATGAACAACAAAAAGAGTTCATTAATTCTGGTTTATGTGCTTCAGCAGCAAGACCAGATAACTGAGATTTTAACATTGGAGAAAGCAAAGAGTTTTTGAGCTTAGCAAGATAAATATATAGGGTGAAGAATACTTAAGGATACTACTAATCATATTGGTGTTTGTGTTCCTTGTCAGATTAGAAACCTTTAGAAAGTTTTAAAATGCAGGAAGGTGATAATATCCACATGCCCTTCTGGCAAGATTGCTGTTTAGTTTCAATGATTTATTCAGTGGGTGGCCTGAGACATTTGATGTCCAGAATAAAATATAAAAATAAAGTTGAAGTAATTGCTCATTTATTGAGAGATTAAATTTTCCCTCATTGTGACTGCTCCATGTTGGTGGGATTTGAAGTTTATTGGCTGCTGCCATATACTCTTAATGCTGAAACTCTGTTTGCTTATTGAGTTATCCAAATAGAGTATATAGGAAAATTTATTTGATCTTTTTATTCACCACTGATTGTGGAATGTGGTCAAAATAAGAGACAGTCCTTAACTTTCTTCATGCATGGTCAGATGTACCAATTTTTAAAGTGTCTGAGTTTTCTGGTGTTTCACAAGTTTTATTTTAGAAGCTTTTTTTTAGACAGTGTTTGGCAATCAGGTGATGGTCTTTTTAATATGCAACCAAAGTGTTTTAACAATTTCTCCATTAAAACCTTTTTTTTATTCAGTGAAATCTTCATGTAGTAAAGGTTCAATTACATGATATTCTTCTTTCAGGAATTTATCTTTCCAATAAAAAGAATAGATTCTAAAACAAATATATTTTTTGATACTTTTAATTTGTAAGGTTAAAATATTTGCATAATTCTGGAATGCTGAAAATCATTTTATTTTATTATTTTTATCTTTGTGTACTGGATTAGATAACATGTTTAAACTCTTATTCCATGTAGTAATTGTGGGTGTAAAAATTGTTTTTGCATTTTCCAATATAGATTGTCAAAAAAATTTAAGTTTAGCTATCCTTATATCAGTTTCTTGTGTACATTGTAAAATATATCATCAGGGTTTTAAAATGTCTTAAAATATCTTGAAACAAATTACACTTCTAGTTTTACTTTCTATTCTTTGTTAGTGAAAAGTATTTGGTTAACTATTTAGTGTCTGTCTCTATTTATGAGATGAGGTATTGTAATTATTTACATTGTTGTTCTCATCTTTATTGCCATATTTACATTTCAGCTGTTGTACACTCTGGCCTTCTTCAGGTGATTGGAATTTCAAACTGAATCCTTTATTTTATCCAGCAGGGTAGATTGTTCTAGTTCCATGCCTCTTCTGAATGCCTCATCTATCTTTAACTCCACTTTCCAAGGACACATGACTTGACCCAAAGAGTTGTGAGTTCAATACCTGGCTACTGTAGTAGTGAACAAAAACTTGGAGATTTGAGTTAAAGGGAGATAACTGAGGCACTCAGAAGAGGCATGGCACGTGGAACTAGAACAATCTACCCTGGTGGATGAAATAAAGGGTTCAGTTTGAAATTCCAATCAAAACATACAACAGTCGAAATGTTGTGAATATAGCAATAAAGATGAGGAGAACAGTCTGAACACTGTAAATAATGTAAATAGTTCAGAGTAGCTTTATGTAAAATAAAATAATCTCAGTGGAGGAATTTCCTAAGTGATTACTCATCTTTTTATTTTAATTTTAATTTGCCTTTTTGTTTCTTCCTCTATCTCTACCTTGTTTTACATTTACTAAAACCTGTTGTGCTTCTATAAAAAAAAAAAGCTTGGCTTTTCAATTTGACTTGCAAACTTCATAAATTTACAGTTTATTACTTTGTTATTCTTTATGATAAAACTTTGCTGATTTCTTATCCAAATAACATTTGAAGTGAGTGGGCGATTGTGAAATTTTGGGGCAGGGAAAATTATAAAATTGGATGTATAAGGAATGATATTAATATATAAAGTTACTTCATACAAATTATGTGTACACATCTGACACTATATCTCCACCTGGCTTTTAGCTTAATCTGACCCCTTGTTATAGAATCTAAAAATGAGTCACTTTCAAAGGTCTAAAAGAATGATTTTGTTGGAAATGGATGTATGTCTCTCTATTTAACTTGTGAATTGTTGAATAGTTTCCTTCAGATATTCTTTCATTTTATAAGGAAATACACATTTGATTGGATATTTAGAGAAAAAGATGTTATATCCTTGTATAAATTCTGTCAGTTTTATTTTGATTGGATATTGATGATCAACATAGGCAGGTAGAACGTTTAAGAAATGAACTATGCTTATAAGAAAAATTCATGCAATGAAGACCTCAACCAGTTTACCTAATGTTGAGTCTATAATTGTTTGCTCAGTATCATCAACAAAGATTATACCTTTGTTGATGAATACTATCCAGAATAGCTGTAGCTGTTCAATAAAAATTTCTCCAGAGAGAAAAATTGAAGGTTAGAAGGGTATAACAAAAGTGAAATAAAAATTGAAATTCGTATGATGAGATGCTGAAGAGTTCCTGGCCTGAAAGGTGTTTTTTTTTTTTTTTTTTTTTTTTTGAAGAAACTTCTACAGAAGAATGCTATGGACAATATGGGACCAACAACAAAGTTTTAGAGAAAATGTAACAAAAAAGAAAACTTATACTTAACACCAGGAAGAGATAGTTGAAATGTTTAGGGCACATATTGAGGAAAGAGGCTTGAAAAATCTGATACTCATAGGGCAGACTGAAGGCAAGAGGGACTGAAGAAAACAATGCATAACATACTTAGTGAGCTTGAGTAAACAGAGGGGTGGAAAAGGGTTTAGGAGAAATAACAAATAGGCAAAATTTATTAAGAGCTATAAAGGAGAGGAAACTGTGGGAAGCCATAATTACCTATGTCCTGAGGGGACATGGCACATGAAGAAGAAGAATCAAGATGACATTGTTAATGAGAGCACTTAATATAGATTTTCACAATTTGGTTGATTTTCTATTATTTTTTTTTTCCATCTGTTGACTGTTTTATGTGACCATTTTCTATGCGTAATCTGAATTAAGACATATGTCAAATATAACGATCCATTTTGAAAAAGGCACATGCATACTTTCCTGAAACAGTTTGGAAAGGAACTGCTAAATTAAAAGAAAAAAAGTATTTGCTGTCAACGAGATACTAATAATATGATGATGATGATTTTATTCTTACTTGTTATATATCCTATTATTGTTGCTTATTATCAGGAGTTCAGGTTTACTTTAACATTCAAATAGAACACTGACAGGCTAAAAAGCCACAATAAGAAGATACAGTAAAAATAAAATAATAATCATAAAAATAACTTAAAATGCCATTATTCCCCATTCTTATCAGTTAAAATTAAATATTATTTTTAGTGGCTACACATGTTGGAGTTGCTATTCCAGCTTTTTATTTTCTTAATGAAATTAATAAGAACTGACCTAGATCGAGAAGCCCAATTAAATCTAGTCTGACTGTTATTAATTTCACTGTTTAAGAAAATAAAAACCAGGAATGGCAACTCAAATATGTGGACCCACTAAAAATAATGTTTATAGTAATAAAAAATATTTTTTTTCAAAAATGTATTTCTGGTATTAAAACCCATTTTTACATGTTTTGACCCCAGTTTGGGGGTTAACTATTTGCTCATAGCTGGGCCCCCCCTAACAGGTGCTACCACCCCGGGTTAAGGTGGACCTGTGAACACCAGCAATTAAGAGGTGGTTCCATGCTCTTCAAAACCTCCTGATCAAAGGCCTTGCTGTTGGATGTAGTTTATCATCTTATCCAGGACGTGGATGTAGTTTATCATCTTACTCAGGACACACTAAATTGTGATTTTCTTCTTTTTTTTTTTTTTTTTATTATATGTTTACTTGCATAAATAATACAGACATGTTAAAAATTAAATATTTAGGAAAACTAAAATAAAAAAATATTATATGTAAACCACTATCAAAGCTGACAATGTATGTAACAACTTATTACGATGACTGCTAACTGGGCAGTATTCATTATGGAAAGAGTATTTTTTTTTTTTAATGTGCTTACTCACCCAGTATCCTCATTTTTAATGTGAGATGCCAAAGATATAGGGAATCATCACTTTCTCCCATAGTTAAGTGAGCAACCTAAACTAAATGCCCCCCCCCACTAGTGATACTCATTAGACTACCTTGTAGGGAGTGGATTATAGATATTTTTATAATGAGACCCGTAGGGTTGTAGAAGCACTAGTTGTGATTTGGGGGCAAGATAGCCTGACAGAGCCCAAATCCTCTCCAGGTCAGTTTTGAGTCCAGAATTTTTCCTTCTCCTAGATGGTTGCCACCCAAGGCTATAGAACCCAGTCTGTTATGCTATTTACCCATAGTAGGGGAAGAAGAGGATTCATACCTTTCTCAATGGTATTAACATATAACTGAATGTAATGGATCCAAATGGAATTTGAACTCGGCTCTTTGATTCAATCTGAGCTGCTATCCATTACTCCACTGTGCCTCTTTCCTGTAATTAGCACATAATAAAGATATGTTGCAAAAGGTCTAAAGATGAAATAGAAACTAAATAATAATTACTCTGTCAGGAGACACTAACTAAAATATTCTCTCACATCCCTTTCAGCACTTCATCTTAATTATTAAAATATTTTAGTAAGTTTGCATTTAAATGCATTCATGTTACAATCAAAAGATGTTATCTGTAAAGTAAATTGGCTGCCATTTCATCATTTCAACTTTCTATTAATTTTTAAAGAATGAAATTTTAAAATCTCATGTTAAATTACCAAGATCTTATTTTTGCTATAGCTTTTTGTAGTGGACAGGCAAGAAGCTTATCTAGAAAAAAAAGAGATTGGTCATTTTGAGAATGACCTATTCAGAGGAAAATAGACTTGGGGTACAGTTTGGACACAGGCAGACACCTAACCTTTTGACTCTGCTAGTGAAAAGAAAGACTTTCTGGTATCCTAACAAGTTAATTAACCTGTGATACTAACTTTTACTTACTTTTTTTTTTTTTTCCTTTGAAGGAATAAAGTTGTGAGTTTTTTAAATTACCTATACATTCATATGTCAACATTTACAAAAACACTTGTGCAAATTATAAATACAGCATTTCTGCCCAAAACCTTGTAGATACTAACATCAAATTACAATTATATAAATAGGTTGAATTTTACCCTGACACACAGTCAAGAATGTATTTACTTTAAGCATGTATGGTCATAGATATTTGTAGTAAGAGACATTAACATATTTGAAACAGACATGTATGTATGTGAATAAAGGTAGATACATGAATAATTCTGTAGTTTAATGATGAAAAAATATTTACATAGAAAACATTTATTTTTCAATATATTTTTCTTTATCAACGCACTTAATTCAGTAGTGAATATTAATTGCATGGATCAATGAAAGTAATTTTTTTTTTGTTTTTAAATCCAAATTCGGCCATTAACTGTTAGGAGACAGCCATGATGTAGCACATAAGATCCCTACACACAGACGCAAAGATAGATCAGTAAATCTATGTACTTTTGTTCTCAAAATATCCAAAATGGTTGTATATGTTCTTGACAGACCACATACATAGATTGCTAATGATGTTCAGAACGAAGTACTCCATGATAACATACTTGATGCATTAGTCATTCATTGTAATGAATCTGACCATAATTATGATCTATAAAATGCTGTTTTAATTAAAAGTGAAAGTAATTTACTAGGCCACAAATGTATGGAAAGTGCACTGATTTCTGAGTCTACCATGGTAAATTTGCAACTAGGTTCTTATAATGCTTCACCATTCTTAATAAGTTTTTTAATGTTGCAGTGTAGGATACCTAGAAACAGCAGCAATAAACATAAAAGTGTTGAAGCTAAATGAAATCAGCTGAGCATTTGTGTCTAGACATATTGGATGCCAGAAAACTTTAAAATTTTGCATCACTATATCTTCAGCATTGCCTGTCGATGTAAAATTACAACCAACATTTTTATTTATATTTTCCACCCCCACTACATGGAATTTATATATATATATATATATATATATATATATATATATATATATATATTCCATCATTAAGAACATTAGTCTGATGAAGTGCTTTTGTATATGTTCTATAAAGACATCATACATAGACCAATGTGCGTTTGCATATATTGATGATGATAAGTAATGTTTATTGAAACAGTTTATTTAACCACATTGCTTCTCACCTCCTAGACCAAAACGCTTTGCTTATAGAATTTCAAAATCTGAAGCTGCTCATTATGTATGCTTCCTTGTAAAATTCATTTGAAAAATGTAGCTTTGCCCATCAACCAATTCAATCTTTTAACATCCTCCAATCTTATCGTAGCTTTATCACTGACAGTCCTGCATTCTTTTCCTGTCCACTTGTTTCATTGCATCCTTTGGGCCACTAACACTTGCAACTTATGATCTGATTATGTTGTATTACACCATAGTCAGACAGTGGTCACTATGTATCACAGGATCCTGTAACATGCCGCAAGAATGACACTGAGAAAATGACAGAAGAAGGAGTATTGAAAGAAGATGAAGTGGAAGATGCTGTTACACTAGATGATGAATTGGTTGTTGATGACATGTTTACACACAGAGTTCTTGATGAACACCGACAGCAGGTGAGAGAAAAAAAATCTGGTTCTTTAGCAGATAAACTTTAAGGTGATGGGAATAAATATGGCTTTGCTTTTTATTTTGGTGATTGGTATTTTTCCAATTTGTGTTGGTGTCATTTGATTTTGATCTTGTGTTTTACTTGACCTTATCATTTAATATTTTAAGTTGTGAAAAAAAATCATGGAAAAAAAAAGTAATATTGACAATACAGAAAAAGAACTTATTAACATCTGTTTATGATTTTGACCACAGGAGAGATAATCATCATTAATAATGGGACAGAAGTGTGTTTGGCCACATGACTACATTGATAACACACATATACATACATACACACAGATATATAAAAACAAACAATCTTATCTTTAATATTTTTCTACATTTGATTGAGATTCATTTTTTTCCTTTTCCTGTTTTAGATTGTTGATTCCATCAAGAAATTTAAGAATGTATTCAAAACATGAGTTATTTTTTTAAAACAAAATCATGTTCATTTTTTTTTTTTCTTTTATGCTCCTGGTTTTTTTTAATCTGACTTTTGGTCAGTTTCTTCATTTAAATATTTAATGAATGACACAAGATAGCATAAATAATTGCAGGTTGCTTGTCTGCTTAAAAATGCTTTTTCTTTTTTTGTCTGTGTGGATTTTTGATTCTGTTGACATTTAGGAAATTTAGAAGGAAAGACCAACTATCAATTTTAAGGAAATGGAATGTATGGTTGAGTAGTCAGAGGGACAACTCAAGATGCAAGCTACAAATTGGAGATGTTAAAATCAGCCAAGTACAGAAATTTAATTATTTGGGAAGTGTCATAACGGATCTTGGAAAATGGAACAAAAACTCAAAGGCGCCTTGGAATAATGTACCTTCAAAAAGTGGAGTCTTGAGAAACAGGAAGATTTTGTTGGAAGTAAAGATAAGAGTTCTCAACTATTATGTCATATCAATTTGCTCATATGTCGCTGAACGATTTCCTCACAGATGAGGAAATTTGAGACTACGGATGTGGTTCCACAGAGAGATATTCTATCCATGTTATTTTCAGAATCTGAGAAACAGGGTACTTTTAGAGAAAATGGAAACAAAAAGATCACTTATAGTTAAAATCAGAAAGGGACATTGTAATTTTAGGGATACATAACAAGGAAAGAAGGCTTGAAGAATTTGATGCTTGATGTCAGAACAGAGAGTTGGAAGGATAGGAAAAGGACAAACATTGCTTAGAGCTACAAAGGATAAGTTGTGAAGAAACACAGTATATAAATAAGACTTTTCTTTATATCTTTAAGAAAATGACTCTTTAAGTTGGCTTTGTTTGACTGAGCAACAATGTAGATGTCTTTCCTTGATTTGTAAAACTATATCTTTATACCTTAGAAATGTAATTTTTTATCCAAGAGGAAGTAACTTTTGATATCTGAAATATCATTTATTCATTATCAATTATTAAAAGAAATATAAAAGTCTCTGAATATTTTAAGCACTTCAGGCATAACAGCTTCTGCAAATCCAAAACTTGCCCTTGGGCATGGTTTTTTGCCAGTACACTTACTGAAGACAACAGTCACCGATATTTAACAGTCCCTCCACGAGGAATGTATGTGGCACAAGGTCGAATTTAACGTGGGTTTCTCCAAGCCCGTAGGCTCGGCCAAAAAAATATACCCTTTGAACCTGCCTAGATGGGTTCAGGGCCTGTCTACTGCCCCAGATGAAACTTTGCCCTTTGGCAAAGCTTTGTTCGGGTTCCTCTCTGCCAAAGTAGATAGTTCGACAGAAGTCGTACAGAGAAGACGTACACGTAGTCAACTCGTCACCTGAAGACGACAGTCACAGACCAATCCATATTGTTCAAGTCCTGCTTATACAGCTCATGCAACCACTGTGCTGGTGATCTTAAATATAATATATTCTTAGCTTGAAAATGTTTATTTTTACTGGCAAAATAGCATATTTGTATAATTTAATAAAACCTGTATCTAGATAGGATGGAGTAGAATTAAAGGAATCATTCTGGCCTTAAACGCACCCACACAGACACAGAGAGCGCAGTAATTTCATGCACACATCAATTTAATAACCAAGACATCTACAATACTCAGTAAACATTCAAGCAGCTGTTCAAAGTGTTGATTTTCTTCTAAACAACTCTCAAGTAAATTTTGAAACAAAAATGAAATAGTATAACATTACTTACTCTTGAAAGTCACACCTTTTATTAATTATTTAATACTAATTTATTTCCTTATTACTTGTGATCAACCTTTTATTGAATGAACGCTAAATAAATAAAATCCGTTTATTCACCTCAGGATCATAAAATGTATGCCACAAATACACATTTTCAACTCTCCATTCTTTTTCAAGATATGCCAATTAGGTATCTGGCAAAAAATTTTGAAAAAAAAAAAAAAGACTAAAAACATCTGTGTAGGTTGAAAATATCTTCCAGTGTCGTAATTTCTAGTTCAAAGAAGAAAGAAAACACTCAAGTAAAATAAGAAAAAAATGTAAAGTGCTCAATACACTAAGTAGAGCATATATAATTTTTTTTTTTTTTTAATTTAAAATTTATGCTAATATGTTGAAAAAATGAATGGGGTAATGACTGAGTTTCTTGTTCATGTCCTGAGCATAATATATATATTAATAATTTTAAAACCAAATTGTTCTCTGATACATTTAAACATGGATAAAAATGTTTTGCTTCAATTTCATACATTTAACACTTTTTTCCAAGAAAAAAAAAAAAGGTATATATTAAACACTTAAATTTCTGTAATAGGATTACTATAGAACTGGGAAAAGGGTTTTACCATTCAAAATTTTTCAGTAACCAAAATGAATCATTGCTTTCACTTTTGTCTTATTTAGAAAGATATTAGGCAGATACACACACAAAAAAAAATACAAACTAAAAAGCCTATACTAGATTAATGTATAATAAGCTCTTAAAATAAGGAAATTGAATCCTAAATTTGTTTTAATTTCTATAAAACAATTTCAAAAGATTTATGAAATATCATTAACCTTTCACTGCCGTTAACAAAATTCTACATTTTTACCAAACTTACATTGCTCTTGACATTTATATAATCACCATCAGCATCTTTATAGTTATTTATTTTCAGTAAATGGTAACTTTTTATTTTTCAAAAAATGAAACAGCTAGTTAACAATGCTATATCAATACAGCAATGAAAATGTTTCAAAAACACAAACTATAAGTAGAGAAAAATGGTGTTTATTATTCTATTGCTCCCCCCCCATCATTGTCTTTCCCTCATAAATTCAGAACTGATTTTTCCTTTTTTATTTTTAGCTAACATTGAATTCTTTTTATTTTTGTTTTGTCTTTCATTGTTCAAAATAAGGAATCATTATAACAATAAGATCATAATAAATGATCTTGGAGAAAGATCTTTGCATATTTTGTCTGATTGAGGAAAACATACTTTTTCTTCAATTTGTAATCATTCCATAATCACCTCATTTTACAAATGGAGTTGCTGATATTTTTGACAGCACTGATTCATTGACACTTTGATTATTAAGCAACAGTGTTGGCGAATGGAACATCAAAAAGAAAAAGTTTGAAAAGCAAAGCTTTAAAGCTCTGACATTTTCTTAGTCAATCAAAACTGCAAGTACAAAGCAAAGAAATGGCAAAGTCCTTCTTTTCTGATTTTTAAAAGAAATTCTTAGCATTTTATATTGCTTTGCAGGTTAAGCTTCATTCAACTACAAACTAAGCAAATTAACCTCTTGCATGTTAGTGGTGGGGGTCATTTGATCTTTATTCAGAAAATTGAAAGAGGAAGAAAAAACTTCAAATGGAGGAGGAGAAGTGGAGTAGAATGAGGGGAAGTATAAAGAAAAAGGAGAGTGAAATGGGAAGGAGGAAGGGATGAATGAGAAAGAATGGTAAAGGGAAGGTTATGAAAAGGTGTTTGAAATGAAAAGTAGGAAGAGATAAATAAAATAAAGGGAAAATGGGAGGAAGAGACAAAGTGAAAATATCAAGAAATTTCTTCAATTATTGGAATTTTTTCTCTCTCACTAATAATAATAATAATAATTCTGCATTTATTTGTCTAGCAGGTCATAGTAAATTTTAAAATAAGAATCTTGTGGAATATGGAAAGCCTGTGATCATCGGTTCTTGCATGGTAAATATGTGTGAAAGAACAAAATTTGAAATTTCTTTTACAGTGAAATTTTTTAAAATTTCATGTGTCATACAAAAATTTACTCATTTTGGATTTAATTTTTTGTCACTAATTATTTTGGATATTTTTTTTTATTTATGAAAATAAACAAAATATTAAAACAATTTTAAAATTATTTAAAAGTTGATTGCACAATTAGGTGTTGAAAACTCTCGGCTTTGACCCACTTCTTAAAATCTGACCAAATAACAGAAGTTTTTGAAAGAACTTCTTGGTTTGGCTAAGAAATTTTCAGCACCTCCTCGTATACTTCAGGTGTGTTTCACTCAAATTGTGGAACTTTAATCATAACAAATAGCTGTTTTCTTTTTAATTTGATCCAGATTTATGTATGTTTACTTGTAAATTATACAAGGTGGTCTCAGAAAGTTCCCCAACTGTACATATTGTGATTGTAGTGTTCAATGAAAATACATGTGCAGTAACTCATTGATACCTGACCTAGTGAATCCGTCTACCAACAGGTTTTGTGTTATTTGTATTCACTTATCACATGATTGTAATGTGTTGGAATGGCTCTGTGTTCTTCAGGATGGCTGACAAATTTGAGTGATGTATCTGCATCAAATTTAATATGAAGTTTGGAAAATTTGCTACTTAAAATTCTTGAAATTCTCTATAAGGCTTTTGATGAAAATTCTTTAGTGGGGGGGTAACACTAGTCTTTGAGTCACATATGTTCAGAATACTATTTTCAGTTATTTGTATTCATTGAAGAAAATAGACAAATTTCTTATATTTCAGCATCAAAAAATAAAATCTCAAAAGATTTTGAACTATTTTTTTTTTTTTTTTTTTTTAAACAAGAGTTAATATTTGTACTCATCCAATTTTAATATGAGATCATTCAGAGAACACCACATGAAAAATGACTTTGCTAACAATGTTCTGTGAGCCTTGTATGCTAATCCTTTCTCTGTGTTAGGTCAGTTTTGTTAATTAGTCACTTTATTACCTTGCTTGGAGTGAAATAAGATGGAAAGGGTAACTGAGAGGGGGGGGGGCTGAGAAAATGTTACCGAGGAGAAAGGACAAAAGAACAGGATTCAAGGAGATATGAAAAAAAAAAAAAAAATTTTTTTAAATATAAAAGTAATTAATAAATTACTCTTCTGTCAACTTGGGGTGCACCTGGCTACCTTTCAAGGTGCATTAGTGTGCATCAGTTGTGAAATTCTGCTCTAAAGCATATGAATAAATTCAATATGTTTGTTGCATGATAAAAAGATAAGAACACTACAGCAGATGCCTTTTAACTCTGTGTGCATGCACATCTATATTTGTATCTCGTAAAATAACTGCAGACTATTGATGATGTACTTTCATCCAATTCGTAAAATAGCGTGTGGTTATCAATGATGTTAGCAGAGCTTCAAACTTGACATTTGTAAATAAAAATAGAGAACTGATAACTGTTTATGAAGTCAGGAACTGATTTGACCATAGATTTAATTTAGGAACATGGCCCCTACCTCTAAAATGATAAAAAAAAAAAATTCAATATTTTTTTATTTTGACAAATGTTATGTGTAGAGGGAGATCTAATGAATGCTAATTTACAAAAATTGTTAAAAAAAAAAGAAAGAATTCTAACCTGTTTTTTTGTTTGTTTTTTTTTTTTTTTTTTTTTTTTAAATAAAAATTTTTAAATAAATAATAAATTACTCTTTTGTTAATATGGGGTGCACCTGGCTACCTTTCAGAGCACATCATTTGAGAAACACTGATCTGGTGCAACTTATGCATAAATATGATGTGTATTTTTGTATAACAAAACTTTGAGGAGATACAGATTGGCTTGATTGTTATCAGCATAGAAAATGGAATTGATTTCTAGCTACCCATGGAAAAGGCATGAATCCCCTTTTCCCTATTCGCTATCATATCCTCAAATATTTCAAGTCTCCTCACAAGTATTCCCCAATGGTTGATGAAGAGAATGTGTGACTGAAAGCTTAGGCAAACCACTCTCCTATAATTACCTTATCTGATCCGCTGTTTCTAACTGTAAGTTGATAATTTCTCACCCTAAAAATTAATTTACAAAACAAAAAAAACAAGGGAAACATTGCTATAGAAAAATGATTTTACTAAGGTATTTTTTTTTTTTTTTTTTTTTTAATGAGTCAGCAATGACTATATATTTTATAACTTGTGCAGACATTGATCTGTCTGGACATAAATTATGCTGCCATTTAATATTAATAAAAAGCCTACCTAGGGCAATGGTGTTTTGGTTCCTTTCAAATTATTCTTCATGGGACCTCACACTTATCTCGGTGCCATTTTCACTTTTCAAAACAATTTTGGAAAGTTCATTTTTGGGGATCATCATCAGCTGCTTCATTGCATTCTCCTTAATCTCATCCTTGGTGTTTCAGTATTGATTTTGACTTTAGGTAAAGCCAGAAAAATTGCAAGGAGTCAAATCTGAATCTTAGGTTAGGGATAACAAACTTGGGTAATTCAATGTTTGGTTTAAAAAAAAAAAGAAAAAAAGAAAAAGAAAACTTATATCAAATGTAAAGAATATTTTCACTTGGTAAATGTAAATGTAACAATCACCCAGTACACAAGCATTTCACTGCTGACTGGGTAACCCCATAAGAGAATGTCAGCTTGTACATGGAGCAAATTCCCTGCTCTGTTGCAAAGTTACATAAAGCCACATAACAAGTTAAGATATTCAAAATGGCTGAATACTTTAATAAAACTAATTTTTTTCCCATTTTATACTCTTTTTGGAACTTTATAATTAAAATTTAACAACAAAATACAAATAAATTAGTGACTATTTTAATTATGTTCCAATTTTCCCTTGTATTTTGTATCCCTTATATATAGAATCAACACTGCATTGTGAATGTCAGCTTCATCCTTAAGTGATCATATGATGTTTGCTTAAGGTGGGTGTTACGAATGCAGATAGCCCAAACACACATACACGCATATACTAAGGTTAATCTCTGCTTGACAACAGAAGAGGTCACGTGGGAGTCTCGAGTCATTTTGGGGAAGCAGGTCAAGAGGTTGACTGACCCAGTTACCTGTAGCAACAGATGTCTAGACAGAATCTAGACAGGGGACTGACATAAGGTCGTGAAGCAGCAGGAACTGGAATTTGCGCCAAAATGCAGGACACATGGGAATTAGAAAATTACTTGGAAGTCAGTTGCTGTTTTGTCTTTGAAGGAGCAAGACTCGAAATCGAAGCTCTGATAACTTATGAGTGGAAAGATGAGACTCATTTTGGTAATGATGGAACTTGTCCGATTCATCATAAGCAACTCCGGATAAGAAATATAAGGATGTATATTTCTGTTCGTCAACTCCAGATTGAAGAAGATAAATAGTTATTTATCACAGAGGATGCAAGGAAATTTGCACGCTGAGAATACAGCCTGTGTTTGAGAGAGAAGTTGCAGCTGGACCGTGTTTGAAATTGAATTTGTGTAAATAAAAGAAAGAAACAAAAGAGGAAACGTGAGAGAGAAAAGAAAGGACAATGAGTAAGAGAGAGAACTGAATATAAAGATAAGTAACTATATATTTTGGACCCGTGTTAGAAAGATACACATGCATCCATAAATTTTATGTTCTCACAAACACCTTTCCACATGTCAAAATAGTAATATATAAATCCTATCCCATCTCTTTTTTTTTTTTTTTTTTTGTTATGCGTTGATTTCTGCATTCGTAGTTATTCATACTTATTTTTTTTTTCGTTCGGGTTCAGTTGAATCCACTTGGATTTGGGTATATTTTGGTATTCCAACATAAGTCTTGAGGTTCTGGTTGTTGGATGCTTTACTCATGCTTATACACAAGATATTACAATAAAAGAAAAATATATGTATATATTAAAATTCTTATACCAAAATTTCTTGTGCCTCATCGTTCATCCTTGAACTGTGGATCGGTATATATGTTGAAACTGAAGTGAACCTGGGAAAAGACTACTGTTTGATTATCTCAATTGAACAGTGTTCTTTAAAATATTTTGTTTACTAATTGTCCATTTGTCATGATCTGGGAGAGATAGCCCATATGTCTCCATAGACGTGATAACGTATATATCTCCTGGTCGGCGTATGATTGCATTATAAGTTATTCGTCGAGTAGGGAATATGACAGTGGGAAACTAACAGTCACTTTGCAGTGTTGATTTCTCTGTCCACATTGTTTATCTCTACAGATGCTTTATTCTTGATATTGAGCTCTCCTCCCCAATAAATATATCAATTTTTAATTCATGGCCTAAAGTTGACCTCAGTGTCCATCTTTTATATTTACTTATTGAGCACTTCTACCTAGTTAAAACTATATTTTTATCATATATATAATATATATATATATATATATATATATATATATATATATATATATATACACAAATAACATTTTTATATGGCTGATTTACTTGAGTGACTTCTCTAAAATATGACAAAACTATGATTCATTAAATGAACAAACGCACAGGTATAACCAGCCAAAAATAGTGGTAAATGCTAACTGTACTAAAAGCAATCATATATATTATTATTATATTGTTGATGCTTTAAAAGTATTTTTAATATTCTGTTAATTTGATACCTAAGAGTGATAATGGAATAAAACTTTTGAGAATCAACATAGATAAACAGATATTTTAATTGTGTAATTCATATAAGATTTCTATTGAAAGAGAGATTTCTCCTTGGATATCATTGTCTAAAATATTATTTATTTTTTATATAATGAGCTTTAAACCTGAAGCTCTAGAATTACTTTTATTCTTTTGCAAAAAATACAAAAGAAATATTCTTACAGTAATGTAAATTCTTGTGAATGGGTCAGAAAAAGATGCAGCATAATTTAAGCATTATGACAATGTAGATATTTATATTAATTGAATTTGAAAAATTGATTTGACTGTTCAGATAAAAGGAAAGTTTTTAAAAAAATCCTTAACAATTAATGTTAATTGAAAAACTCAGTGTGAGGAAAAAAGAAAAAAAATGATGCTTATAAATCCATCCACCATGGCTATGGCACTATCCTATAGACAATGAATGAAATAAAATGCATGAGAAATAAACTCAGAAAATAAAGAATGAATAAATAAAAACTTTAATCCCATCATGCATTGTTATCCATTGTTTCTTTTGATTTCTTTTTAACTAATGGATTTATATTAGCCAATCATTTTCCTATAGCAAGATTAAGAATTTTTGTACAGTATATGAAAATGTAAAAAGAAAGAAATATATGTATATAATATATATATCTTGTTAGATTGTTTGAGTTTTAAAAATGCTAAAATATTTTAATAAAAAATACTTGTCAGAATAATTGATAATGGCAAAGTTTTAATAAAGAGGTTATCTTGACAGTAAATACATTAAAAAGTAGGAAAAAAAAAAGAAAGAAAAGACAACCTACAAAATATAAATAAGTATAAAATATAAAAAGAAATACAAAAAACAGAAGAATAAAGAAATTAAAATGTTCATCTAAAATACTGGATTGCTTCTTTTCAGGCAAGAGAATTGTATTAAAATGTAAACATTTTTAAATAATTTTCTCCCGTTTTCTCTCTTGATTTTTTTGATCAATACAGAAAGCTGCAGCAGAAAATATGAGGAAGGTAACAACATCAGCTCTAGCAATTCTTCAGAGTGCAGAAGATGCCCTTGCACGAGAAAGAAAAGACAGTCAGAACAATGTGATATTAGCAGAGCAGGAGATGGAAGAAGTCTTTGGTCAGTACAAGACAAATGAACTTTCCAGTTGTAAAGATTCCAAAATGATAGCAAGTGAAGAAACTAGTTTAAATATTGGACTGACTCCAGAAACCGATAAAAAGAATCCTTTCTCTGCCAATGAAAATATTCTTGTTGGTATTGGTTGTGCATCTCCAGTTGAAGACAAAGTTACCAATCTGAGTGCAGCTGAGAAACTAAATTTTGGACCCAAGCCAATTGATCATAAACGCTTTAGTCGTGATTTTTATGTCAACAGTCCGTTGGTTATGAGTAAGAACTCTTCATCTAAAAAAGCTAAAGAAGTAGCAGAAACTGAAGACAAGGTAAGTTATAGATTTTGTTATTTCTGTTCAATGAAATAAGCAAAAAAAAAGTGTTAGTGATAAAATACATAAACTAAAATGTGATTATTATGGTCATCCTCTCTGTCTTGTGAGGTCGCTTAAATCTCTCTCTGTCTTGTGAATCCACTTAAACCTCATTTTTTGTGATATGTTTTAGTGAAAAAAAAAAAGCCCTTGAAATAAAAGCAAATAGGGTCTGGAAGATTCTAATAAAAATTCCTTACACTTGGCCTATTGCTCTAATCTTTGTTGTTATCAAAACATTTCGGATTGTGTCCTCTGGCCTTCATCAAGTGTTTGTTTATCCAGGTAAGTTCAGTAAATTTTGAACTGAACCCTTTATTTAATCTACAATGGGAGAATGTTCTTGTTCCACTGAGCATGTCTAGGGATATCTCATCTTATTCAGTATTACTTGGTTATTGCTTGCCTTGTTTCCACTGAATAAGTCTTCACTACCAGTCCAGGATTTGAACTCACAATGTTACTGAATTTATGAAAGTGTATAACAATTAAATTAAATTTTTTGATTTATATTAATTCTTTTATTTATTAATGTCAACTCATATACTTGTCTTGAATACAAAGAAAAACATTTTAAATAACCAGTATTTAATTAATAAAGTTTTTTTTTTTTTCACATCATGACTCCTATAAAACCATTAGAAGTAGTAGTGGGTGTGTCTAGGGTAAGATAGAGTACATCCCTCTTTGGCCTAGTCTTGTATTCAGTTTACTTTCGCCTAGAATGATTATCACTCAAGGCTAGAGAGCCCTGTCTACCCTTCTATTAACACCTAGTTGTGGGGAGAGATGAACTCATTTTTTTTCCAAGGATATTTATAAAAGTGAACACAATGACCTTGACTGGAATTTAAACTTTGCTTGCCAATCAATAACCACTATTCTATGTACACAAACTTAAGTACATTCTTGTGATGCAGACATGTGGTTGAATTTTGGTGTATGTCGTACTAAAGTTTGGGAAATTTCCTGTAAAGTTTTTCCACAAAATATTTCATAATTATGGAAAACAAGAGAAAAGATGGCTTTTGGTATTTTCAGAATGTGTCTCAGATTTGACCAAAATGCTTTATACATATATAAACCTATGCTGTTAGATTTTAATATGCTTAAAGTCATTTATATTCACAATAAAATCATTATTGATCAACAAATAGTAAAATTTTCAGGATATAATTATATTAAAAATTAATTCATTAGAAAGTTAAAATTTCAAGGAAGCCTAGAAAATTTGTCACAAGATGTAATGAAGGCAAGAGAGATGGGGTGGGGGGAAACATCAAGTAACCTACCTAATGAGCTTGTGTAAATGGATGGTGGGATGGTAAGAGGACAAACATTGCTAAAAGCCACAAGGAATAGGAAGGTGTGGAGAATCTTAATCACCAGTCCTTTAGGGAGGTGACACAGAGAAGACTAGCTTTTCATGGTAGATATATTTCCATTGTAAGAAACTTTGGGCTCTACCTAAAGGGCTATGTTTTTGGGGGGGGGCTTAAAGGTAAACAGGGTGAAAAGTGGAATTGACAAACCAAGTTCAAACTCCAATTGGGATAGTTTATAAAAAACACTTTGCACCAATGACTTTGAGAAAGAGGAAACCTAGTTTCATGCCTATGTAGAAAATGAGACTTCTACTAATATTTATGATTGGCTAAACTTTTAAAATGAACAATTATGTTGTTGTCTGGATTAATTTTTCAAAACATTTAATATAATTTAGGAATGATTTAGTTCTACAACTTTCCAAATGATAACTTCTGCTTCAGTTCAGGATTTTTTTTTTTTTTTTACGATAACATGTTTTTTTACATAAGCTCTCTACATTTCTGTATTCATCATTGGTTCCTCTTAACTCTCCAGCCTTTTCAATGGAAAATATTCTTATATCTTTATTGACATACAGGATAATATCTGACAGTGTATTAAGATAATGTTGGCAAAATTTTCTGGATATACTTATATAAATACTAGCCAAATTACCCATGCCTTGCTGCATGTCACATTTTTTTTTTTTTTTTTGTAAGAAAATGATGATTGCTTTTAAATCATTGTTATAATTTGTGGAGAAAAATGATGCATTTCAATATTACTCAATGATCTTACCGATGTGATGTCCATCTTCTGGCTTTCTCCTATATTTTGGATAGAAGTCATTCCCTTGTTCAAGTTTAATTTAAATCAAAGGGTTAAAAAATTTTCAGTGATGGGTTTGTGCTCCCCAGGGATCCCCTTTGATCAAAATGAAATATACTTATCCAGTACTCTGGGTAATGTAGTTTCAGAATATATATGGTTATGGAGTCTATCTCAAAAACTCTAGGAAGACTTTGATAACAAACAGAGACAGATATATATGTGTGGTTTTCAGCTTATAACAGCTATCTTTTTAAAAAAGATATTGATAACTTGTTTTAGATGTGTCTAGTTTTATTATGCAAACAAAGCATGATATAAATTTTTATTTGTAAATAAATCCAAGATATGGACCATAGAAATATATTTGATTTAAAAAAAAGAAAAAGTCTCCCTTATGTGTGAATAAATTATTTTATTATATAACATGGGCTCTTTGACATTCTATAACCTTCATCAGTTTTTCATTTTCACCAGACTTATTCAACCTTTGTAGTGAGGCAATCCTGAGAGAATTACAAGTCCTACTAAGATTCATTATTGGTGGAAATATTTTTAACATAAGATATGTAGATGACACAGTGTCGATAACAGGCCCAGAAAAGAAACTACAGGAACTCCAACAGAAGATAATTAAAGACATCAAGAAGAAAGAATTAAACATCAATTGTAAGAAGGCAGAATGTGTAGCTGTCAGCAACAGGAACAGCCCAAGATGTGAAGTATGGATTGGAGACACTAAAATGAAGCAAGAAGAAAAATGTAAATATCTGAAGTGTTTTAACAGAAGATGGAAAATGTGACAGCAAAATCTGAAGTCACATTGTTTCTAAGGAAATTTTCCTGTTTCTTAAAACTTTACTTTTGGAAAGCACTTTTGCTATTACAAAGTTAAACAAAGTATTATGTAATATCAGTCCTCTTATATGGCAGTGAATGTTGGATAATCTCTTCACAAATGAAGAAAAATGACTTGAGGCAACAGAAATGTGATTCTACAGAAGGATGCTGAGAATACCATGGACTGGATGTGAGCAATGATGAAGTTTTAAAGAAAATGGAAATAAAGAGGATACTTATAGTTTGAATCAGAAAAAAAGTTGAAGTTTTTTGGGCACATAAGTTTTGACATTCACAAGACATATTGACAGGACAGAAGAAAGTAGTGAATAACCTAATGATCTTGTGCAAATAGTTAGCACAACAGGGATTAGGAGAGATAGCAAAAAGACAAAACTTATTAAGAACTACAAAGGATAGAATGTTGTGCAGAGCCAAAATCGCCTACATCCTGAAGGGACATGACACATTGATGAAAAAGTTAATTTATATGTACATTTGTGAGGGATTGTATTGTATTGTATAAATACGAAAAATTTATCTGAAAGCAAGCACCTTCTACCCATTAATGGAGTTATGTCCCTTACTTAATATCTCGTTGCATTAAAGGGCAAAGATCCAAGGGAGATAAATGTTTTGGTACTTTGAATTTCTTTCCTAAGTGATCAATTACTGAAATCACATTCTCCTTGGATACGAAGGATGAAAAGAGAAAATCAAAATCCAGTTTTTTTTACTTTGTTCGATTTGCAGGAAAAATTCAGTTACAAATATTAATTGCTCCTTTTCTCTCTCTCTCCCCTTTTGGCATTAAAGTTGGAAACACCTGATGTTATGTTAATACTTGATAATTTATTGTAGTTACCTCCCTTGGATCATTTTGTGAGTGTAAGGAATTCGGCACACAGCTAGTCTAAAATAGGATTACAATAGTAAGGCATCCAGTAATAGTAACTTACTATATTTAGTTTTGTCTGGTACAAGGTCAGAACAGTGGAGCACCCAATAGAAATACTTCACTACAATTTTTGTAAGAAATATAGTCAATCACAGTCTGTCTCCTCTTATAAAAAATTGTTTTGCATGATCAGTTAGATTTTATTCTAAAGTAACGATTACATAATGACATCAATTATTAACATTTACGAACCAATATGAAGCATCCAGTAAGGATTGTACTCCCTTCTAGTAGGGATTCCATGATCCACAGTAAAGGCTCTATTTTTACTTTATTTTATACATAGAATTAAAGTTTCTCACTCAGACATTTTAACCAAAGTCCAATAGGTATTTCTGATAAAAGCGGATATTTTAGTTAAAACGTAAGATTCTTAGCCTTCTGAAGAATACAATCAAGTCTCTATAATACTGAAAATATGTTTAAAGTAAGTAAAAAACAAACACCCTAATTTAGAAAAAGGATTTATTAGTAGAAAAATGTTTGCAGATATAATTTTATTTATGTGTATATGAATTGGGATCAAATACAAATTTAATATGGATAGGAATTCGACAGAATGATAGGATAAGGAAAAAATAGGAGATGCTTATAAATTTAACATGTTTTGCTTTTATTAAAGCATCATCAGAAAATGAAATGTGGAGTAGAAAAGAAAAAAATTATTGGTATTAATTTTTCTGCTTAACCAATGAAAAACAAACAACATAAAAATAAAAAATACCAGAATTTTCTTTTCTTCTCCACATTTCATTTTCTGATGAAGCTTTAATAGGAAACATTTATAAATTTAACATGTTTTTATTTGTTACTTATCAATAAAGAAAGTGATGTTTACCACACACACACACACAATAGGATATCTTATTCTATTTTAAGGACGAATATACATCACTTGTTGATAGTGTTATATTTTTCCAACTGTAAAATGAATGTTTTAATTTGAATAAAAAAAAAAGAAAATTAAATATGAATGAGACCTGTACCTCATCTTTGGAAATTGGTTTGGCAATTCAATTGTAATTATCCCTGTTTAATGATATGAAATGTTGTTTGTCTATAGTGATTGGTGGCTTTCACTTGCAACCAATTGACAGTAAGTCTTCTCAATATTCTTATTGATTTAATAATTCCATGTCTGGATAGTTTTGATACGTCCTCCAATTTCTAATTTTGTTTGTCTGGTTTTTGCACATCTGCACATTGAGAGCACTCCTCTTGACTGAAAAAAAAAAAAAAACAGGTGTTATATAACTCTCTCAGTCCCACACTGACTAGTGGCTAATACCTACTCAGTATCGTTCATATGCAAATAGTCAGCACTAAGTAGAAGGTCTTCTCTCAACAGCCCATTGTGGAAGGAGACGTAATTCCTAGTGCTTACAGCACCACATACAACCAACTTAGGGAGTCTTTTATTGGGCTGTCATGATTCTGTTTCAATAATTCTTTCAGCTTTTCCAATAACAATCAGCAAAATTACCATGTTCCACAATGCTCTGGCATGATCCAGAGAATTTTTTTCAGCTTTTCAATTTCATTCAGTTTTACTATCTGATATGCGAGAACAGGCATCCACTTCACTGATTAATTTTCTTGTTTGTAAGTACTAGATCTGATTATCTTACCTGGGTTGGTCATTGTTTGAATTTAAATATCCTAGAGAACTTTTTTCTTTCACAGTTTGGATAAATTGTTAAATCCAAGTCCGAACAGTTTAAGTGGTTTACCTTTCTATTTAGTCATTTATTTTTATGCTCCTTACCAAGCTTATTGTTAATCATATCAATCAATGCAACATCTATTTCTGGATAGTTAAAATTTCCTGTTTTGTCTTGTTGATCAAGATCTTAATATAATTGGTTCTTATGGAATTATTTTGGGCAGCCATTAATCAGGATTCAGTTTTTTTTGTTCCAAATGTCCTCCTTGCAACCACACTTGTTTATCATCATTAGAGAACTGCAGATGAAATGATATTAATAAATGAATCAAAAGTGCCCACATTACTAAACTGAGTAAGATACTTTAGAAAGTGCAAGGCTATTTAGAACATTTACTGACACAGCAAAAGGCATCAGTTATTATAGGTAAGGCTATATATATATGTATATATATATATATAACAACTGTTTGCGATGGTTAAATTGTTTAAATTACGCAAAAATGATAAATATATCTTAAAATGAGATGTCTGTTATTTTCAAAATTACACGAAAATATCTTGAAAATATAAAAAGTAAATTTATTCAATAACTCCAGAATCTCCTGCTTTGCTTCTGGATGGTCTCCTTGTTTAAGTTGGTGGATACTCTCATAATACTTGCCTTCAGTTCATCTTTGGTGTTATGAGGATTTTTGTTGGTCACTCGTTCAACTGTGTCCTACACACATCTGGACGCCTAACTACCCAGATTATAAGGGGTGATGTGGTCACAGGAATTGTCTGATAGGCATGACTGGGTTCCCCTGCTTGTCTGGAAGAGGCATAGCACATAGAACTAGAACAGTGTACCCCAGTGGACAAAATAAAGGGTCCGGTTCATAATTCCAATCACCTGAAGAAGGCTGGAACATACAACGGCCAAAACGTTGTGAATATGGCAATGAAGATGAGGATAACAGCCCGAATAATGTAAATAATACAAGTAATATATAATACCTCATCTCATTTTATATATATATATATATATAATATCTGTCTATGAGAGAGTAAATTAATTAAAGAAACAAAGCAATTGTCAGTTTCATTACTGGGTGACATTTTCAAACATATTTTTATTTCTTCCAGGTTAGTTCTTTTTGAAACATGCAAGCACAAATTTATTTTTTTTTATGCCTTTTAAATTCTGTGAGGAACATAGAAACTGCAATGATATCTTGCAGCCCTATAACAAGTCAGTTTTTTAAGTGAGTAGGTGCCTACTGCACAACCTCCAACTTGAAGGATCAGGTTTTGAATTCAGAGTTGTTCTTCACCTAAACCAGTTGCCACCCAAGGCTATAGAACCTGGTCTTTCCTGCTATTTACCCATAGCAGGAAAGAGATGATGATGATTCATACCTTTCCCAAGTAATAAATGAATGTAATGGGTTCAACTGGAATCTGAACTGGTCTCTCTGATTCCTCAATCCAAGCTACTATCCGTTACTCCACCATGCCTCCTTATTCAAGCACAAAACAGTTCATTTTTTTCTTCTTGTCCCATTAACAGAAATGCTTAAATGTTTGATTAGTAACTGGCTGTGATTTATGTGGTATCTATGCTGATGACAACTATTTACTCCTATCTTAAATGGTAAGTCTGATTGGTTTGATAAGGTCAAATTGGCAAGTGATCTCAAATATGACCTACATTCTGTTATTTGGGTTAAGAAATGGCCTGTTAATTTTAAAATCTCTAAAATGAAACAGCTCTCTTTTAATTTACATACTCAAATTGCTCGTATTAATTTGGGAATTATTTTCTGAAATCAATGTAGAAATGTGTCAAATGAGTTGTAGAACTGTTCTTGATAGGGTTCAGAATTTTATTGAACATGAAAGTTTGCATTTTGAACATGTTAAATAGTTTGTTAATCATAACAGATTACATTGCTCTGACATGACAATGCTTATAAATTTTCTTAAATTTTATTGAACAAAAATATATTACAGTAGTTTAAATAAAAAGGTCATTACTTTTGCTGCACCCTGTATATTAATTTCATATAAACTTAAATTAATAAGCAACATATTTGAAAAGATTCAACACATTTGTTTTATGTCTTTTGGATTTATGCAACGAAGTTGTAAGAACATAAAATTCTTGAAAGAAACAGTGTGGTCATGAGTGAAAAGTTAGTCTATCAATTTACAAAATAAAAAATATGTTTAACTTGTTATTCTGCTTTCTACTGGTTGTACTGACTCTCCATAGTGTTGTTTCACCTTTGTTGGAAAGTAGGTTTTGTTTTGTTTTTTTCCTCTGCCTCAACTATAATCAAGTTGGTCACTGGCAAACCAGATTTTCAAAATGTCAGAGACTCATTAACATGAACCAATTCCAGTAAATTGTTACGAGGGTGAAAAGCTGTTACAATTTGATTCTAAACAGATTAGCTTCCTTTCTCTTCTATTTGGAAGCTTTAAAGTATCAATATAAATTTGATCACTATTAGAACTTTCCAGAAATCTGCTCTAAATACTTTTCAGGCTGGTATTTGAAAATTTTCTGTGCTGCTTTCTGCTTACATGTTGGCATTGGCTAATGTTGATTGTTTAAACTTGGATAAGAATGTGGAACTTTTGAATGAGCTTGATTTGATTAATAATGCATCGGAGAACATTCCTCCAAATAATACATGGATGATAGTGAAGGTGGCAAGTTTAATTCTTATGTCAGACTTGATTTTCAGCTGTACTGTCTTCAACACTAAGAACAAACAAAATCTAATTGGACATTTTAAAAATATATTTGAACCAGTATGTCAGTTTAGTTCAACTGATTTTAACTCTAAGATCCTTGTTTTTTTATTTATATAAATTATCTTAGCAAAATAATTTCTCAACTCAGAAAATTTAACTATTCAGACCAGCATACATTGAAAGGGAAATATCATTTATAGATAGTTACCATTTAGGAAAAAATAATTTTATCATGTAAAGAATTATAAACTGAGAAACTAATTTTGGGATATAATTTAACACTTAAGTTTGTGCATGCTTATAATTAGGCCTTAATTTCTGGTAATATGTAAAACATGTTTTTGTAATAAATGTTTTAGTGATTAAAATAAAAATGACTAGCTTCTTTCTAAAGAAAGCAAATTATGTTTGAAATCCTATGTTATTTGAACCTATAATTTATTAAATTTTTATTATATTTTTGTGTTGCTGTTTTTTTTTTTTTTTTTACAACTTGTGTTATTGCTTACCTAAGGAAATTGTTTATGAAAAACTGTTATAGATTAGCTCCTTTCATTTATTTGAAATGTTGAATTTTTCTTGTAAATTTGGCAAATTCTGGTATTTTCTATTCAAAAGTTTATTTTTACTTTAATTCTGTTGATTTTGATTTTAAAACTCTGCCACCTTTCAATCCTTTAAAGAGAATCTTCAGAGTCTTTTGTCTTTGAAGATGAAAGACAAATGATGGAACAAATTCAATAAATGTATTGAAAAATTGTAAACTATTTCTATTTAAAACTGACTTCTGACTGGTCATGTAAAGCTGTTGATATAATCCAATAAATTTCTTTGCAATTTTAAACTTATTCTCAAAATGGATACCAATTATTCAAAGGAAGATAAAGACTTAAAATTTAGCATTGTTTCATCGCAGATTTATATCGCAGCCAATGGAGTCTACTCTTTGGAAGACAAAATCCAACAGCTTGAAGCACAAGTGGAAAACATTCATGAGGGAATGTCTGAGAAGAGCATGTCTGATCTTGAAGATGAAGTGGCCAAAACAGTAGCTCAAGTGGAACACAGCGAACATCAGGTAAGGAGAGAATTTTCTTTTGTGTAAATTTCATACAAAAAATATTCCCTGATCTATATTGGAAACATTTCTATTCTTGAGGAAGGTCATCAATATTGGCATATTTAATTTATGAGATATTTTGTTACATCAAAAAGTCTCTGGTAATGAAAAAAAAAACCCATAAAATGAATGATCCAAATGACTTGCATTGAACAGTTGTCTAAAATATGTTTGTAAAAATGATTCCTGAGATCAGTTTTCTATTATACTGATTCTTTTCTATCAGTCTTGCATTTCAAACACTGGCATCTTTATTTGATGCATAGGGGTGTGCTGTTCCTATTCCTTTACTCATTGTATCATGATAAAGTTTGGAATTGATCTAAACAAAATTCTGATCTTGGTTTCAAAGAAACTGGATTAAAATAAGCATCTTTTTATTTCTATTCCTATCCAAAAATGCTTGTATAAAGTTTATTTCCAAAAATAAAAAAAAAAAAATGTATTTCAATAATTTTTTGATTATCAACATTGTCCAATTGCTGATGATATTGAGTCTTACATAATCTTAAAATGTCAATGTAAGAGGGAAGAGATTAGAACAAAAGATTCATTAATTTATTTATAAATTAAGATGTTTTCCAGATTTAATGTAGAAGACATCATGTTAATTTGCAATTCAATCAAATTCTTTTTAGTCATAGTACATGGCAAGGTACACTAATAAAATGACTTGTTTTTACTCAAAACAAAATTACTGTACTCATAGAAAATATTAAAAAAAAAAAAAAATACAGAGAAATTAGTGTTTTGCATATTACATAGATAATATTTTTTTGTCATTTCTACCAGTCTGTCAAGTAGTTACTATAAATTAATCTTTCTTGAAGTTTTTTTTTTTCTGATGGGAAAAGCTCCAAGGATTTAATGAGGTGTTTTTTTTTTTTTTTTTTTTTTGGACACTACATTAATATGCTCAACCTTGGATTAACTAATAAGTATATGCTCAGATCACTGAAGAAAAGAAATCACCCTTAGTTGTCTTACTGGTTTTAGTTGCAACTAAATTGATATAAAAATAAATAAAAGCAATAGAAATAGTGACTAAATTACGAAAGTAAATACTACCCAAAAGTTAATAATAATGATTGATAGTGCTTCATCTAATAAAAGTACTGGTGCTATTATTACTAGTGAAAAGACAAATATGGCACTGATAAAGATTGTGGGATTAAGTGATGAGCTTAACTTTGGTCTTCTGTCAAGTTCTCAGCTTTGGACATTTACCAGGCTCCTACAAGGTAAAAGAGATGTGAATGAAAATCTTATCTTTCATTTTGTGTTACTTTAAAAATATTTGGATTGGTAAAAATTATACTTAGAAAAATTGTTTCCAATTTTCCAATCTTCACTTTCATTGAGAATTATATAAAAGTTGTAGTCTGTTTTTTTTTCTTTTCTTTAAATAAATGCATTTTTGAGCCCCTTCCCTTTGATATATGATCAGAGCTGGATTAAGATCAACTGATGCTCAATGGTTTTTTTCAGAAAAAAAAATCATTTAAGAATGTTTAAACATCCAACATTTGATAATTTTCACAAGCCATTAGGACTATTATTAATCACACCTGGGTGTTGTATAAATATTATCAAAGACATTAAGCCATTAATGTTTAAAAATACATGGACAACCAAAGATTTTACAATGTTAGAATTTGAACATTCAGATTTTTAAATACTAATAAAATAAAATGTATTTACAGGCATGTATATGAATTCAATAGTCAAAAATAGTATTTACTTGACTTAGTTGGTCCACAGAAAAATCTGAGGTTTAGAAAAGATGGTTCACTGACCATTTCTGTGTTTGTTGGAGATGAATCATTTGAAGTTGCCATCGTGTTTCTTTCAGCATGCCCCTGGGAAGAAGCTATGTAGCTACCTCTACCCTTGTGTTTCAATGGTTTATATTTTGACTTTCAGGAGTAAATATGGACTTTTATAAGTAATTTTTCCTGTAACATAGGCTCAAGAAAAAAAACGGGTTTTGTTTCCTTTATTGGTTAGAAATTAACATCATGTCAAATATTTCATCAATCAGACACTTTGATTTAAATGGTGGGAATTATATTGTGGAATCTTTTTGGTACATTTGTAAATATTGTCTGTTATTGAGTAGAAAATAGTTTGGGTCTGTTTGAATGTAGTATGTGGGTATGTAAATAGGTTTTATTTCCTATAGGCTCACTGCCTATAACCCATTAATGATCACCATCCCATTTTTGGGACAGAAACCTATAATTTATGCCAGCTTTTTATTTATATTTTTATAAATAATAGTGGATATTTGTGTTGAACATCAATAAGATTATTATAAGATGGAATTAATATTTCCATTACAAACCATAAATCACCAAGATCAGAAATTTATCTGTAATCTAAAATGTGTAGCAAGATTATAAGTACACATTCAATTTACACCTCAAAAGTGTTATTCAAATGCGAGTTCTTTTTTATGCAAGGTTGTTAAAATATTTTATAATATGGCAAATAATTGATTATATTTGTAAGTACATTGTCTTCTCACTTCTGAGAATGGAAGAAAAAAATTTTAAAGCTGTATTATTTTTTTAAAAAAATGTTTTATTTTCCTGTGATGCATTTTGACAAGTCAACAAAATCAAAATATCAGATATTAAATGGTGGTGGAAATCACTCTGAGAAAGCTTTTAATTTTGTTTTATCTTTATTTTGCTGCTTTTTTTTTTTTTTTTTTAATCTTTTTTGTTTGTAAAATGTTTTGTACACATTCATAACTGTTTTTACTTGCATCAACACTACTTTTATTTATTTGTTTGTAATGCTTGCCACTTATTTAACTGGTTTTGTTTTATAATCAAAATGTGAGATTTACTTGTAGTGCAAACACAGATAAGAACTGTAACAATTGGATCAATTTTATTATTCCTTTTGAAACTTAACTATTTTGTGCAATAAGATGGCTATTTTAATGACAATCATTATTTCTTAAATTTGAAGTCTTTATTTCACTTGTTGATTAGACACAAAAAATATCTTCATTAGAATTTCCAAATTGGCTGAATAGACAAAAACTATGAAAAACTACTGAAAATGAAGTGAATCTTTGATTTAGCCCTAAGAGAATATATTAGTCTCAAATTTCTTGTATAACTTACTAAGAAAAATGAAAAACAAGTTTTAATCATGACAAGTCCTTACTCAGTAAAAGTCTTAACTACATATGAATGCATACACAAAAATAGCTTCATTTGGTTTTTAAATTTTTTTGAACAATATTCAATTGTTCCCACTTTTTTTAAATGATTTCTTTTAGATTTTCTTATTAAATTCATGTACTAAATGGATATTTAAAGTTTAATTTTCCCTATTTACTTGAATTTCATCTACAGAATTCTTTTGTTATAAAGGTTTTATGAATCTTAGATTTTTTCCTCTTAGTGTTGCAGAATAAAAAAAAATGTCTTTACAGCTAAATGTATGGATCAGAACTAAAAATAGGATTTGATAATTTGAATATAGGATTATTTTATATAAAGATTTCTTTTTCTTAAAGATATAGAAAAATCTATTAAATTGAATATATATTCATTCTACCCAAATAACACTCAAAACAGTAACAATTGAACATTGACATATTTTGTTTTATAAACTGCATTTATCCACTTGCCCTTAATCTGAGTTAACCATTTTGATCCTTCACTAGGTAGCCTCCCTTGAGAGTTCAGTTGATCAATTACAAAGAGTCACCGAGTGCCTCCCAAGCTTATCACCCAGGCAGTCAGTTGATTCAGGAGTCTCATCTACAAAAGAACAATTCCATGTTCCTAGAATTCTAATTGGTCAAAGTTCAGAAGAAGAGGTTCCAGAATCCAGATCTGAATTTGATGCCGATTCTGGCATTGGAATGCCATCAGTAACCCAGTTGAAAGCCATGTTTAATCAGCCTAAAGACACTCCAGGAGATGCGTCTGTTAAAAGGGTTAGCATTGTTTTTTAGGATTTATTGCTTTTTTTCCTTTTCTTTTTTGCATGCATTGCAACTTTTGTTGGTTGATCTTTTCCCTCCCTTTTTGGTAATGGTAGCTTTTTTATCTCCCAGCATTCCTTTAAAGTTTGGCTATGCACTCTTGCTTATCTTGCTCTAATAGACTGACTTGGAACAGCTGGCAAACTAACAAATCACTAACATGCATGGAAATAGAACATGTCTCTATTGGAACAACTTTGGTCCCTCTTTTTCTTTTGGTGGAAAAATAATGAAAAATACTTCATCTCATAATTTGGCTAAAACAATCATTTATAGAATTGATCCTTATCTGATGTGTAACATTTTTGCAAACAAAGAATTGGGAAAATTCTTAAAATTAAGATCAGTTTATAGATTCTATTTTTTAAGGAAGTTGAATATAAATTAACCTTCATATGTAATTGTCAGCATTCAAATATATAATTGGTAATCTATATATATGTTATAGCCTCTGTCTGTTAGTTATTGAACTCCTTGTAGGGATTTGGAGATACACTCCCCCTCCCCATAAACATATACCTATCCAAGTATCCTGAGTAATGTAGTTTCAGAATATATATTTCATTTTGATCAAGGGTGGGGGTCCCTGGGTCCACTGAAAATTTTTCTCTTTGATTTAAATGAAATTTGAATAAGGGAATGACTCCTATCCAAAATATAGGAGAAAGCCAGAAGACGCCGGTTACATTGGCAAGATCATTGTTACTTGAGATCTAAGCTAAGCTTTGAAAATTGCAGATCATATGAGTTTCTTGGAGGTTTTAATAACTTAGAAAAAAAAAGAGATATCAATAGTTTACAGTATTTACATACAGGCTATTGTCCTCATCTTTGTTGTTATCAAAACATTTTGGCTGTTGTGTCCTCCAGCCTTCATCAGGTGTATGCTGATTGGGATAATCTGCATAGAATTTTGAATGAACCCTTTATTTAATCTATAGGAGTAGATAGCTAGTGTTCCACAAGAATATAGTGAATTAAAGTGTTGGTATGTGAATTTGTCCAGCCAAGGGAGTGAACTCCCAATTACTACAATGTGTGCAATAACTGAGCAGTACTAACAATAAGAACTAGATGAGATATCCCTAGACATGGGCAGTGGACATGTAAGCATGACTGCCAGTTTCACATTTAGCTGATAACCAAGAACATAAAAATCTGCCTGTAGAATTTTACTAAGACACAAATATGGATAAGTCTTTGGTGAGGGGGTCTAATTATTCACACAGAGACAAGTCCATGACTGTGTTAGTAAAACACCAAGCTCAGGAAACATGATCCCAGAAGCCATTCACTCTAAGAGCCCTTTTCAACTTCAAATGCTCAACCATTTTGACATCAAAACAATTGCAACCATCGAAAACTAATTTTATCCAACCAGACCCATTCTCTGCCTATTTTTCCCCACTCTTTGTGAAGAGTTATCTGCTTGCTTTTAATAATATCGTTGAAACATTTCTTGGGGTTAAGTCTGGGGCATTCGCCAAGAGCAAGCTCACTGTAACACTCACTTGAGATGCACTGCCCAGTGCAGTTGATTGTGAATGAACAGTTTCTCTATGCTTGTTTATTTTGGCCTGTTGCAGAACAAGTTGAGGTTTAAATACATCTAAGGCATTTTTGATGAAATCTTTCCAAGGTTTTGATATGATGGCAGTATATAGTTCATGTCTCCAATATAGGAAAGCAGTCAGTAAATTGGAGAAATGGGTCTGGTCAAACAGCATCTACCAATTGTGTTTCCTGAAGGCTTGCTGACTTTTTCAAGTTTGCAATTGATTTTGTGATCCAAAGAACCATCTCTAGCAAGAGTACTTCCAAGTTAAACAAATTTTATCAACAACCTCGGACTTCTCACGGGCGCTGGACATCAGTGGGCACTGGATTAGATCGTCAGCGGGTGCTGGAATAGGTAGCAGGACGTCAGTAGAGCACTGCAGGGGTGAGCTGGAGGCTGCTGGAAGCTGTTGGGGTGAGCTGGAAGCGGCAGGAGTGAGCTGGCGTCTCAGAGGGAAGGCAGTAGCAAAGAGTGAAGTGAGTGGAGCCTTGAAGAGTGGTGATCGAATGACTTTTGGAAGTTAGCCCTGAAAAGGACTGTTTGAACAACTGCTGCTACTGGGTCCCATCAGCTGCTGGGCTTGGTCGACTTGACTGGGCGCATCAAAGTCGCGAATCAGGAAGGCTTCCTGCTCTCTGGCCGGCTAAAACCCGCTGCGAAGTCTCGGGCATCTAGATATGACGGTTCATACAAGAGAAGCGGTGACGCTAAACAAGTAAATGAATATAATTAATTTCGGGCCGTATTAATTAGTCAAAAGTGTGTTCGGTGTTTGTTGACTGTATTTAAATTAATTTCGGTTCGAAATTAAAGGTCTTTTATTTTTGTTTAGTGGCGAAAATTGAGTTTTGTGTGTTTCTGTCAGTTTGAAAGGATGTTGTTGCTATTTTTGGCACACAAGGGTCGTGACCTTTCTCTACTGGCAGGCATATCCGGGGTTGTTTAAGAAAGGGTGGGAGTGATGTTTGGGCACACTGCGACAAGGGCTCATTAGCGAGTCTGGATTCATTGATTGAGAAACACTGAAGTAGAGGTTTATTTTCATGGATAAACTAAGCAAATGAATCATAATAAGCAAACTAATAGTTCCTCTTAGTACAAGAAACTGATTGAAGGCTAACTTGAATTTTACTGTTTGTATCTTTTCTAAAGAAAAAGTTGTCATCAGATGATTACATTTCCATAACTAAACTGATTTTTACTAAACAGGACTTAAGGTAAAACATTCTTTAATAGAATAAGCTATCAATTTCTGATATAATATTTCAAATATTTGCTATAACCCTGCATATTTTCATTGATACATATTTTGGTTGAGTGTAAACTTTAATTTTTCAGTTTGAGAAACTTACATTTGTTTTTCATAAACTAATAATTTTAATTTTTTTTTTTTTTCTTAAATATTTGTATTTAATTTCTGAAAATTATTAAAATCTAAATCACATTTTCATAATTAGTCACATTTTAAAAATTTTCATTTGTCATAATGCTTTTGTATACAAGACAAAGTCTGAGAGAGAATTTATATTTCATATTTGTATAAAATAAATGACATTCATTTTAATTTTGTGTAAAATAGCCAAAAGCACAATTTTATTATAGGCTATTTTATAATAAGAAAAAAAAAATGGTGTCTGTAGCTCTGTTGAGTTGGTGTAGTAGTTATGAGCATGGAATTTTGATTTGCTGTGGGTATGAAATTGCTTCTCCCTGTGCTCTCTTCTACTGGACAAAATATCATGTCCCAGTAGGTGAATGAACATTTAGGTAGTTATAAGATGGCAGTAATTGCTTTCATTCACCTACTGGGACATATTTTGTCCAGATAGAAGAGAGCACAGGGAAATGCAATTTCATGCCCTGAACAAATGAAAATTCCATCCTTATAACTACTACACTACTTAACAGATATCCTGATCTACAGGTGGTGAGATTTAAAAAAAAAAAAATATACAAACTGGTTAAAATCTTATATTCAGAGATTATCAGTAAAATCTTATATTGAGAGATTATCAGATACAACACGTTAAAAAAAAAAACAGAAGCACTTGAGAAAGGCTGAATGTATTTTTTTTTTTTTTTTAGAAGATTGTATCCTGGAATATCAGTAAGGTTTAATGTGAGAAATTTTACAGAATTCAAAAGAAAATGATACATCTTTCATTATTATAAACATGTAACATCTTGTTAAGAGTTTAAGCAGTTGAAAAGGCAAATGTCATTGTGGAAGAGAAATTGATTGAGAATTTACTGAAAGTTATGCTATAATTAAGCAAGAATAATAAAAACTAGTTATAGGTGTGGTTAACTTTAAAGAGCTTACTCATAAACTTTCTGTTTTATTAATAGATCTGAGGTGGCATCAGAAAGTTCCTGGAATAAACCTATAAACAAAAAAGAAAAGTATACCATTACTTCAGTAAATAATATCGTTTTGTATGTTATATAAATTTGGTCATCATCCCTCTTCACTTTGTCCACGGCAATCTAAAAGCATCACAGAATTCATCTCACTGAAGCACATCCAACACTACCTGCAATCCTGTTTGAATTTCAGCTTCACCATGTTCCCCAAAATGAATTTGAAATCACATGGAGAGTTTTTTTTTTTTTCCATTTTATTGGTACCTGGGCGTATATTCAACCTGTCTTGAAATGTACATACCATACAAATCCTGTGTTTGTCCAAAGACTGATGAAACATGTCAAATCTGCTAGAGACCTTTTTGAAATGTTTCATGCAAAAATTGATGCAGATCTGTCACTTATTGTAGTGGAACAGTTCTGTGATCTTTACTTGTGTTCAATTATTACATGTGGTTTTGTAATGTAATTTCTGTTGAATTGTACAATCCCAGTAATTAGTCTGGGAAGAATGTATAGAGTAAAAGCAAAGTAAAACATGTCCAAAGTAAATAAAAAAAAAAAAAAACCCCCAAAAAACAAGAGTTTTTCCAGTCTACTTTGTTTCCTCTTTTTCATCTATGTACATATTACAAAAGAACTACAGCCAGTTGAGTGATACATCAGGAGTAAATATGGTATGATGGTGCAAATAAATGAAACATTGTATTTATGTTTGAGTGAACCACAATTAAGATTTTGTTTAAGACTAAATTAGATTTAGTATACCTCTACATTGAAAAGTAAATTTTCATGTTTAGTTGATTTCTGAACTTATTAAAACTATAAGAAACTAACCCAAAGAAGATTATACCCATTTCAAAGCAAACCTTTACTTGATTAGCTTCTTAACCATCACTATGGTAGGCCCCATTACTAGACATTTTTGTTTTAAGATTTAAACTAGCTTTAATCTAAGATAACAAAGTTGCTGAACTAGAATTTACTTACTGTTGAAAAATGAAGAGTATAAAGAATACATTCTACCTTT